CTGTTAAATCTTGCATCACAAGATCAACTGCAATTGGTGATAAACGGAGATCCCATAGGAACGCCAAAAGATTATTTATAAAACCCATCGTTAAAGCAAAAATAAGTGGAATCAAGTATCAAGATAATAGCTTTAAAGGATAGCTTTCTTCCTTTGGTAATGAAATGTTGTTATCTATATATTGTCATCACCTATCAATACTTTTTACTATCAAATCGATCAAATGGGACATTAATGAACAGAGAAACAACGTCTAGAGACACTAAGAAAGAGTCATCCGATAGAGTTACCTTAGATAATTCTTTTATAAGTTGAAAACTATTTTTAACAAAATTATTAGGTTTATTTAAATTCTTATTTAATATTTTATGTAAAGATGAAGCCAAGTTGTGTAATGGACTACCTATGGAAGACACAATAATTCGTAACGGATAACCTTGCTTATGAATCTTGGGTAATCCATAAATTCTTGGTAATTTTAGTACTATTGCATTTAAAAAATTAAAGATAGATTGAGAAATTAAGTCATGACCTTTCCATATTTTTAACAATGTTTTTAGGTTTTTTAACAATTTGTTAACTAGATTGCGTTCTATTAAAATGTATGTACTGTTGTCGGAAAGTAAAACGCTAACATTTTATTCTCATAATAAGACTTGTCAGTATCAAGAACTATGACTACATTCCCTTTGTCAGCACAAGTTAAAATTAATTATGGGATCTCAATGTCCAGGAACTTGCTGCCGATGTCAATGCATATTTCCTCATCAAGATACAAGGCATGTAGCGAGGTTTCGAAAATGTACTGGAATATTTAAGAAAATGCGCTGTGAAAAAAAAGAAAACACATAAATAGATCTTACAAAAATACATAATAAGCAAATATTTTATAAAATTAAATAAACTTACTGTCTCTTACAGGCCTCATCCTGTTGAATTGGAACGTAATAATTCATGGCTTGAGATATTTTATTTCCTCGGAGAACTTATAATTCGCAATAGCTGTCTGAAGCTCTCTGAACGATTGATGCGGTAACATTGTCCGGAGCTCTTCTTTGAAACAATGTGTTCCCTTCCACATTTTTTTTACACAACTTAAAATGTAGGAGATTTTTTTATATACATTATATACATTTGAAGAACAGTTGCGATGTGGTCGAAGGATACCAAATAGATACATATTACAAGAATGCACTCTAATGATATCGAATCTTTTTTATCTAAGAGATCGGCACCAACGACAATAAAGTCTGTCTGTTCCTATTCTCTTTTCAAAAATGAATTTTGGGAAAAGAAATCAAAACATATTTAAAAAGCAATCTTATACTTTATTTTTTTAATTTGATACATTTTTTCCTGGCATTGCGACTATCAGTTGTATATTTTTTTAAACGCATTCAGTATTGCACAATTCTTAACATGTTTTCCACATCGTATAGTATGTATTAGTAATATCCAGATTACGTAAAAGAATCTGTATCTTCGTAATCAGCATCCCGGATCTCAATGTCGTCGCTATTGAGTATATCAGCCAATCATTCTCTTCGTTTTTTAAATCCTTTAAAAATATACGAGAACCTTATTGTCATTATTCTCTTCCACACCAATTACAGCCATTGCAATCAGGCGTTTCACCATGTTGTACGGAATCCTGTCTTTCCATTGCAATCCATGATGACAAGTCAGGAAGCGCAGTCCTTTTCGGATTTTATCAAGAAATTCCATGGCATGGGACATGTAAAAATGTTATGAGAGAATAATTCCGTTTCTAAACACCGTCACTTCCTTCACGATAAATTTCCTTCCAACGATAAATTCTTGTACAGTCAATCAAATTAGGCATGCATTAAAAAACGTGTTTTCCTTATGTCATCGTGTTTAGCGATATTTCAAAGAGATTTTAAATCAATTCCAGAAATGACGCACATATTGCTTTGTTATTGAATATTGTCACGCTTACTGAATGTAGACACAAAATGAAGATTTACTACAATATTGTTACATTAAGTATTCTTTAAATTAATGCTTTATAAATACGTAAGCTATATGATGTAATTTTTTATTAATGCAAAAACAGTTATACCATGACATTTCTCAACGCGATCTGAGTTTCTTTTACTTAATTCGAAGAATTTGTTACGTTTATATTTTAACATTAATAAATTTTACATTAAATATATTACAGATATGATACACCTTCAAATCGTAATAAAAAAAAATGTAATTCTAAATATATGAGTAGATATAAAAATATTAAAATGAATAATATAATGTTTTAGTGTTATCGTGCAAACGTTCGTTACCAAAATCTAAGTTATCGTGAAGAATTCATTACTCATGTAACTTTAATGTTAAAAACGTTATGAATTCTTTTTAAAGGTATAAGAGACCAACATTGTTGGCTAAACTGTTAAAAAATAAATACATTATTTCTTCGAACGCTCTTGCACGATCTTTGTTCACTGCTATAATACCAAATCATTGTTTAATAACGACAACCATTTATTGTTATAAAATGGAATTAAAATTAAATTGCTGCAAAATATAGTTCTGTCTCATTGTTGTGATTAATAACAAACTTTTTACAAATACAACGATAAATTTGTAACATTAGCTATACAGTTTTTAAATTTATTTCAAATAATTATAAGATTATGCGTTTTGTTACCTCCGTGTCCAGATCCATTTTTGGAAATGCCAACGTTTCATGAACCTTGCAATCTACTTCATCTGGGCGAGGAACAGCCTGATACTGAGCTGTTTTTCCGTTTCTTTTTTATATTATGCTATTTGTTGGAGTGGGGGGAAAGAAGAGAAGTATGCGTGCGTGCGTGCGTGCGTGCATTACTAAGCATATTTTCAGTTGCTAAATTAAAATTATTGCCGAGTCATATTATTAAAAAATCATATAAAACATATCATATAAAATAATCATATAAAAATATCTATTTAATAAAATCATGTTCAAAAGAAGAAAAGAAAAGAGAGCGCAACGGGAGGAAGAGAAAGCGCAAATAATAAGTATAGGACTGCAACCCGTGGAAGAGAGAGAACTGCATCCTACAATGGGTGGGAGAAAAAGGATAATAGGTTAGAGAGAAAGAGAGAAGGAACGAAACTCTCTTTCTCCTCCAAACACGGACCCCCGAACGCGCTTTCCCCTTCTCAACGTCTGTGAGGCACTTCTCCCTCCCTAACTCCCTCACACACACCCATACACATCATATGCGTATACACATTAACACATAGTGAATTAGAACCGGCATATTATATCTACTATTTGGAGCTTGTTATATTAAGTTTTAGTTAGTATTTTTACATTTCAAATTAGTCACTATTTTTAGTCAGATTTTATTTTATATACTATATATATATATACACATATATACATTTTTTGTTTTTGCGTTTTCTTTTTGCTATTATATATATGTTTCGAAAAAAGCGTCACAATTAATTGTATTGATTAAATAAAAGGCTATTAATATTAACGAAAATGATCTTTTGTTTTAGACTAAATAACAGACAAAATTGCGTGTGTACAATTTATCGCTATGTTTACAGTTTCATTAAACGGATATTGCAATTAATATCTTTGACGCTTTTTGAGAGGGCTATGACAATAAAGATTATTCAAAGGAATAGCTTCACACAAAATAATCAAGAATATAATTTTAGATTCAAACGGGAAAGGAACCGGAAGAAAAATCATTAATTATACAGATTAAGGGACATCGCACCGATGACCTTGACCTTAACATATGTTGTCAAGGTCATAATTCTGAGTAACCTTCAGAAGATTTTAGTTGATGGTCACTGTTTATTAAAAAGTTATGAACAAAAAACTTTGAAAAACATGTGTATTTTAGTAACTGTTTTTTAAAAAATTATGAACAATAGGAGTTTAATATAATTTCTACCTATTTAAAACAATCTTGAAATGAGAAAGAATAATAAATATTAACTGAAATATTAACATCGATGTAAAAGGATATGATTTGATGATAATATTCGTCATACATATTTTGTTTACTTCTATCGACAGTCAAGCTTTCGTTGATATTTAGTAGTATTGTGATCACCGATAACACATCATGCGTCTGTACGAGTTTTTGGTACGATAATACTGCTTTTATTGAATGTTTAATTGCAAAAGGTATCTTTAAAGATGAAGTAGATTGTCTAAAATGTAAATCAAAAGTAAAACTCTCGCGAGATTTTGCTAATTTGAAATATTACTGCCATGCCGTGTATTATAAACAAATTCGTAACAAGAAAAGACACAAAATGTAGTTATAATTTTAAAATCAATGTCATGACTCTGAAAAATTTTCAATAGGTTTTAAATCGCTTCCACCTCCCACTTTTACTCCCCCTTTCCCCTGCAAAGGGACGCACGACTCTCACTTCCGACTTTCACCCCCCCCTCCTCCTCCCTCCTTCAGGAGCGCACGACTCTCACCTCCGATTTTCTTATCTCTTTATAGAGAGGGGGGGGGATGAGAGTCGTGCGCCCTTTTGCAGGAGAAGAGGGGAGTGAAAGTCGCTTCGTGTGAAAGTCAAAACCTATGTAGAATAGTGTTTGGTATTGCATATATAGCAGAAATAATACTTATCTTTTGAACTTCTTTGTTCATAACTTTTTAATAAACAGTAACTGCCAACTAAAACCTTCTGAAGGTCACTCAAGATTATAATCTTGACAACATATGTCAAGATCAAGGTCATCGACACAGTGTCTCATAATCTGTAATTACCGAAAAATCTGAAACAGAGAAGGAATGTTAAAAATTCAAAAAAATTTGAGAAAAATTCATACTTTTTGAGACTAAATTTTTGCGAAGGGAAATAGAGAAATTGTTAGCAGTGCAATGTAGTAGGAATAATAGGCGGGTTCTAACTCAGGTCCTCTGAGGGGAGCGCGGGGCGCGGGGATACTCATAGGCGCGAGGGAGTAGGCGCGGGGAGTACTGCTAGACGCGGGGAAGGGAGGGGAGGCTCTGGAAGTCCCAGCGCTATCGATGTTTATGTGCCGGTGCTATCGATGTTACTGATGTGTCGCCATGTGCGGTGTCACGTATTATTGGAACCGCCGCCACCCATCATCGCAGACGCCGCCACCCCCGCCGCAGGCACCAGTGCCACCACCACCGCCGCGTCCCCAAATTAAAAAAAAATGATAGCCGTCGTTTTTCTGTAAAACAAAAGCGTTACATTAGCATGTAACATATAAGAAGAGAAATTCACATATAAATTTATGATACTTACAATTCCAGTCTTCCGGCTCCGGATCAGGCTCGTACGGTCGGAGACCAAATAATTCTGCTAGGAAGAAATCCCTTTCTTCCCACATGTCTATTTGATTCTCCCGGTCGCATTCTCTTTTGTTTCTTTTTATTCGCCAAGTGGCTATGTTAATGAAGCCTCTGATTTGAATAAAAGATGGAGATACAGGCTGAAAAAAAATGAACAAAATGAATTTAAAAGGAAAAAAGAAAAAAATAGAAAATAAATCTATTTGTTATACTTACTGAGGGGATAATTTGCACCCCCACCTCATCTCGTAATTGTAGCCGGACTTGCGGCTTGTTGTCGACCATAAGGTACTGAAAAGTAAAAAGATGCAAAATCACTAAAATGAAGCGCAAAAATCACTAAAATGTTTGATAAAAAAACAATTTACTCCTTCCATGGGATACTCGTATCTAATTCGAATTAGATCTCGCAAGTTGCTCATCGTTGAAAAATAATCTGAAACGACAAAAAAATTTTTTTTAAAAATTCACAATATTATCACTTAATAAATAATAAACATATTCTACTATTTAGCGTAAATAGTAGAATACTTTTACACTTTGGGGAAAAAAAAATCACTCACGTTATATATTATCACGTTAAAACTTTCACTCACATGCAAATTTAGCAAAAGACTGACGCTGAAAATCGTTCTTCGGTGTGGTGTGGTGTGGTCATGTACTATTGGGACCGTCGCCGCCACAAACCCCCCGCGTCCATCCTAAAGTGCTGTGGTGTCATATACTATTGGGACCGCAGCCTCCGCAGACCC